AAACTTAATTTTTCATTAAGGAGCTTAAACAACAGCAATGCTGATAATCTTTTGGGAGTGTGTGTGTGGATGGGCGAGTGGGTGTCTGTGTCCGTGTCTCTCTATGTGCGTGTGTGAGTGTGCAAATGTTTACACTTGTTTCTGTATCTGTTACTATCAGTCGTTTACTTGGCAAAATAAAGAGCGACAGTAGTCACATACACACACACACACACACACTCACTCACTCTCGCAAAAAGGCCTATTGCCACACCCACAGACATCGTTGTTGTTACTGTTTTTGTTATTTAGCTACTCTTTATGTTGTCGAATGTTGTTTTTTTACGATTGTTATGGCACTTTTACAGCTGCAAAGGACGATAATGTGATTTGGTGTGTATATATGTGTGTGTGCGGGTGTGGAGTCACGGCTCTACCGTCAGCCTTAATTTCCTCGGAAGATGTTCTTCGTTCTGCGTAGATTACCTTGCTCAACACATTTCTATCTGTTAGCGTCACTTGTAATTTTATTACGCTGACTTGTCGTCGTCTGCCAAAGCTTATAATTGCTTGACGTTCCAATTTCCCCGTTGCCTTTCATTTGCTTCTTCATCTGCTTCCTCCTCCTCTTGCTGCCGATTTCAACAGAATTACGTCCAACATTTCAAAGCTTCTATTGTTTTCCTCTTAGCAAAGTTTTATTTTAGTTCCTTAAGTTTTTTGTGTGTTTCTTTCGTCGTTCGTTCTTTATTTGCGCCAAGGATGTTGGTGGAAAGGAAACGTCTTGTTCTGGCGGCTCTTCCTTCATTTCTTCTTTCGTATTTTATTTAATTTATATTGTACTTAAATTCACTCACACAAGCAGGCATATTTACCGAATTAACATCCAAGAAAATTTGTTTCAATTAGAATTTATTCTCTCTGTGAGCGAGCGAGCGTTCTAGCTGCCTGCCACTTAAGGCCATCGTAAATTGAAAAATTGTTCCAAAAAGTTTTACTTCAAAACATATTACAGCAGCATCTCCCAGCTATGCCGATTTGTTGCCTAATGGCTTGTTGACATTTCTACTGAGATTTCGGTGATATTGTTGGTATTTAGAATCATTAAAATGGGATTTACACTTCATTTGTTGCAAACTTTTGCCATTTGTTAGAGTTTTGTATTTGTATTTGTATTTTATTGGAAAAATATTGGCTTGGATTAAATACGCATAGAAGTTTGTGAGCGAAATTCAAAATGAGAAATGTTCTGGGAAAATGCCAATGAAGTTTTCGGTTTCAAAATTAGAGGCATTTAAAATAAATAGCGGACTTAAAAATGAAGAAAAGCATTTAAATAGGCTGCTTATTATTTGGGTTGAATAGATGGAATCCACATCTCAGTAGGGACGAGGAAGAGAGTGGAAATATATCCTTCGCCAAGCTACATTTTTATATTTTTGGTTACTTGTATATAGGATCACAAAATGAATAATGACTACAGGTCTACTATTTGATATAAGAGTACATCCAAGTTTAGAGTATTTTGAAGGTCTCGAATGAATTTTCCAACCAAATTAGGGGTAATAAGACAAGAAATTCTCTTCTAGCTTCTTCTGCAAAAAAGCAAATAAAGGTCCACTGTTAATAATTTTTGAAAGATTTAAGAAAACAACTTTTGACTATATTGTCTGCAATTCGGCATTTTAGGTTCCATGTGGATACAAATTCGTCCTTCAATAATTCGATCCTTTTGACATAAACCCACACCAGTCTCGATTTTAGTAGTTTGGAGATCCCCGCATATTTCACAGCCAAAATTACCGTAATCTTATATTTTGAAATATCAATGAGTAGAACTCATCACAAAATAAACTCAATTAAAGTCCGGATTATGTAATAACTCCAAAATTGGCGTATTAAAAATCCTTGCCAAAATTTCCTGCTAATGGGAGTTTTTATAAGGTCCGACAATTAATCCTATTAATGTGGTCATAATTAATGTTAATATTTTAGATGGAAGACTGTTCGAGTCTGTATAAAATATATCCTTTTAATACCCTCAGCTATATGGCTAGAGAGGGTATACAGAGTGAGATAAAAAACTGCAACAAAGTCAAACGCCTTAACTTTTACACTTTTTTTAGATTTTATTGAATGAAAGAAAAAAATGTCGGAAATATCATCAAATTTTAGAATAAGTTTAGATTTGTTCATATTGTGTCACCTTTGGCACGAATTATGGCCAATGAAACCTTCACACGTTGTCCGAATGTTGCGCTTGCTTGAGGTGATCGACACTTTGGTATTTTTTAGTGCCCACCTTGCTTTCTAAAATACTCCAGACACAATAGTCCAACGGATTGGTATCCGGAGATTTTGCTGGCCATTATGCGCTGGAAATGAGGCGAGGAACCTCATTTTGTAATCATTCTAGGGTTGCGCGTGCTAAGTGCGATGGTCCTGAGTCCTGTTGGAATGTCCAAGGTCTGTGGCCAAAATGTTTGCGTGCCCAAGACTTTAATACACCCTCCAGAATATTTTCGCGATAATATTTGGCATTTATTTTAATGCCACGGTCGATTAATACGAGCGGAAATCGTCCATCGGCTCTTATGGTGGCCCACACCATCACCATGACCGGTGCTTGAGTTCTGGTGGCCAACCGAAGGTGCACATTTTCAACTGACCTCTTGGGCAACTTAACACGATGATTTTGTTTGTTTAGAAACTGCTGGACAACGAATGTTTTATCATCGGAGAAAACCAAATTGGATTATGATCCTCATTGTTTGGTTAAGCCATCAACCATATTTTTCAATATTGAAAAAAAAAAAAAACATGAATAAAAAATTCAACGGACCTTTTCTCCAATTTCCATTTTCGGTGTTAAATTTTGTTTTCCAATTACGCGAAAGTTCGTTTTCATGTTGTGCGTTGCGTTTGTAAGCCCAAAAGTAGACTAGATTTTTTACATGATTACGTGCTTGCCAGCACTAATTTCCAATACCACCAAAACCAAACACATCTCCGAAATCAACAGCAACAATAAAACCAAAATGAAACATAATGACAAGCCTACTTTGTGGTGCGACAAGGTTGCGGCTCAAAAATATATTTCACTCACGTTTTACGTTATTTTCTTATTCGAATTGCCTTAACTTTGGCAATTCTATGCTCCGCTGCTCAGGCATTTGTCTTTTGTGAGTGTGTGTGTGTGTGTGCGTTGTCGAATGATTGCATTTGAGACTCGTTGTTGCTATCTCGCTCCACCATCTTCTTCATTCAGCTGGTTTCCTTGTATAATAATAGCATCATTAACATGGTAATATTACACGTAGATATTTTCGGTTATGGTTTTGTTACGATTCGTTTCGTTTGTTACGATTTCGTCTCACTCGAGGAGATGGCAGGTCGGACCCCAAAGCGTGTCTGGAAATTTAGTGGTTGTGACACTTAGTAGTTACCCCCAAACAGCTGTAATGGGCACAGAGCTGAACATCTGGGGAGCTGTGACTTGTGAATTTAAATTTAACGGAAATTGAATTTCCTCTTAACATGTCGAGAACCACCACTCCCCGCCTACACCCTCATGATACCATGCAATGGCAACATCATTTTGGACTGGCTTTAAGATTTATTCTCTTAAACTCATTTAATTTCTTGAGTTTGTTTTTTGGCCACAGTATTTTTATGGCAGAGAATTTTTTATGTTTTTATTGCTACTTTATGGACGTATTTTTCTTTTTTTTTTTTGCGGCGATTGCTTTGAGATTCATGTTCCATGGGGTTAGACTTTCTCGCTTGGTTGCTTGCCGGTTTCCTTTTTTTGTAAATTATGGACTAAATTTTTGCAACCAAAAAGAAAATCTTTATATCAATGGCCACCAAAGAAGAACTTATATGAGTCGGGGTAAATCCTTAAAATATGCTTTAGAGTTTCTATTTAAATTATGCTGCCCCTAAATGTATGCAAACAGTTTTTATTTATTTATTTATTTCGTTTTAATGGAAGCAGCTAAATTTCCATATCAAAGCATGTTGTATCCTCCTTTTATTGAATAACTTGTTTGTCTTTCCATTCAAGCAATTCGAAAGGGTCTAGTTTGCTAGAAATGTATTTATATTTATGACGGGTCGCAGTCGTAGTCGTATCATGCGTCTTCTCATGCTCTTCTCGGAATCTGTCTCATTTTTTGCTATTTCTGAGAAATTCTATTAAAGTCTCGCAGAAGTTGTGGAATTGCAGCAATAACCCATGATGTCTTCTTTCTGTACGAACTCTTTTCTCGGTTCTTTCCATTTTATGGCAAAAGACAATGGAAGCCATAATGGTTAGCCAAACCGAGTCAACTCACTGCACTTTGTTGGGTATTGTTTGCAAAACAATTTGGAAACATTTGTTTCTGATTGTTATCGTCACAAGTTTTTCTCTCTCTTTTTTGCGGGTATTCATGCAGAAGCAGATAGGCGAGGGCAAAAACTTTAATCAGGTCCCTGAACTCAACATTTGGCCTTGGGATTGTATTTTTTTGTCTATAATAAGTTTATTAACACTTGTACCGAAGATCAATTTGCGAAAGGATACATGTGTTCGCTGCTCTTGCTGACAGCAGTTTCGGTTTATTTTATGAAAACGGCAACAAGAATTGGGGTTAGGCTTAATTGGGTTTAAAGTGGTTGAGAGACATGTTGAGATAAAATCTCTATTTACCTATTGGCAAATGAATAGCCTAATTTGCCAATAGGTAAATAGAGATACTGTCAAAATCTGCAACTTAACTTGGCTAAGGATAACAAGGCAAAGAACTGAAATTGACACGCTGCAGGAGTGTATCATGGGCTCACAAAATAATCCATTCTTATGATTTAAAAAGTCCTGAAGGGCATGAAAAAAGTTACAGGAGAATAAGCACTTTTTTGTAAGCTACCTCTTCTTTGACTTAATACAGGGTGAGATAAAAAAAATGCAACAAAGTCAAACGCCATAATTTTTAAAATTTTTGTTTAAATTTCATAGAATAAATGAAAAAATGTCGGAAATAGCATCACATTTTAGAATAAGTTTAGATTTGTTCGAGTTGGTCACCTTTGGCACGAATTATGGCCTTCAAACGGCCAATGAAACCATCACACGCTGCCCGAATGTTGCGGTATTTTGGCCCATTCCCGGCGAAGCGCTTGCTTGAGGTGATCGACACATTGGTATTTTTTAGTGCCAACCTTGGTTTCCAAAATACTCCAGACACAATAGTCCAACGGATTGGTATCCGGAAATTTTGGTGGTCATTGTGCGCTGGAAACAAAGCGAGGTACCTCATTTCGTAACCATTCTTGGGTGGCGCGTGCTGAGTGCGATGGTGCTGAGTAGTTCGTCCTATTGGAATATCCAAGGTCTGCGGCCAAAATGTTTGCGTGCCCAAGGCTCCAGAATATTTTCGCTATAATATTCTGAAGTTTGTCTTGCAGTTTTTTTCATCTCACCCTGTATATTTCATAGAATGAATTTTCCAAATTGAATATTTTATTAAATTCTAATTTATTTAAATTCTAGTTTATTAAATATGAATAGTATTATCAAATTCTAAATTCAAATGGCCTTTGCAGCTGTAATATTAAATAGCTCCAAATTTTATTAAATTCATTACAAAAATGACAACTTATTTAGCCACAAATCCTCTCGAGAGACAAAATAAATTTATTAAATATTTAATTAATTTATTGCCATTGCATTTAAATGGCATTTTCATTTTACAGTTAATCCCCTTAAAAATAATCCCAAAAAATAATAAAAGAAAATATTTCAAAAACAAATAAACATTTATAATTGTTATCTCTGTGTGTATGTGTGTGCGTGTGTGGAAAATCATACAACCGCACTCTGCTCATTACAAATTGAAAACCCAAAGCAAATTTACGAACATTTACAAATTACAGTGACTATACGAGAATTGATGAAAAAATAAACAAAAACTGGTATCTGTTTTTTTTGTGCAACTAAAGTGCTTCAAATATACACATACATACAAATATTAAATAAGATAAAACCACAACTACAAATAAAAATAAAAATAATAATAATAATACGCTTCTTCCATATGGCAATATACCAATAAAAAAAAACAACAAAAATTACAACCTGCAACTCTTTATTTGAAAAGGCATACAAATAAATATCAAATATTAAAACAGCAGCAACACTCCGACACAATTTTCAAATTCCACATATCAATGCCAAAGCAGTGAAATAGCATTGATATCCTCCTGCCTGCAGAAACGCCCAAAATAAAACACCGAAAGCCGAAGGATAAACACAAAGTGGTGCCAGCCAGCCAGCCGCAAGATAAACGAAGCTTCCATTTGAAACAACTACAAATATTGTTAGAAATTGATAGAAAAATAAATAAAAAAAATAGTTACTATTTTGATGCAGATAGTTAAGGGTATTTAAAACTCCAAAAACAACAACAGAAACATCAAAAGCTACATAACACTGAAACCTCCGTGGACCGTAAAAGGATTGTTATAAAAGGAAACTATTTTTGTGACATTTTATTATTCCAAAGAAAAGAAAAAAAAAAATAGCAAAACCCCCTCAGAAAATAACTCATATAAATAATCCCGCCCTAAAACCAACAACAATTGTTATAAAATATAAACAGAAAAAAGTCAAATTAAATATTTTATTGTTATTACATAAATGTTACACTATCAGCAAAACGCCGATTACCCACAAATTTTACCACAAGAACATTCTTCGCCGCCGTCGTCGACAACAACGACAACAACGACAACGACGACACAGTCAACGCTGCCAACTAAAGAACAAGTGGAGCAGCAGCAGCATCCGTCGCCGACGAAGAAAACCACAGCCGTTCTACGAGTCTATTATCGGCGTCTCAATCAAAAAGACGGCACCGATTCAGAAAATACTGGACCCCAAACCATTTCGGCCAAAATGAAAACCCTGGCACCGAACATACGCCGGCGTCGCCGTTGCGATCGACACCATCTGGAGTTGTATCATGGCACGGAGCACAAACATGGCAGCGGCTCGTCGCCCACAACCGAAGTACCGCCAAAATCGAAATCGGCCTCAACATCGCCTATCAATGATTTTGGCATACCCGCACCGCCCATAACACCGCCACCGGCATTTCTGCCCGAGGGCTATCGACGTTCAACGACACCCAACAAGAGTGCTGCAGTCAAGAGGTCTTTAGGTAAGCATGATTGAATGGTTAATGTTGAAACCGTATTAAGGGGATATTTGTTTTTATGAGAGCCTAAAATTTTTTATACCCTCAGCCATATGGCTAGTTAAACCCTCAGCCATATGGCAAGCTGTATACTCAGGCACAGAGAGGGTAAATATCATTTGAAAAGGTCAAAACGTGCCTAGTCGAAATAACGGTTTTAGACAATAGGTCTCTTTGGACCAAATCCGTTCCAGGACATTTGGAGTCGTTCTAGCGATGTCCGTCCGTCTGGCTAGTGCGCACGATAACTCCCGAAGGGAGTATTCAATTTGGTTCCAACTTGGTACATCATAATATTTTTGTCAAACTTAGATCGAGTTCGGAGATGGGCAATATCGGTCCACTCCTTGTGGTACCTCTCCCATAAAAGGTCGAAATTTTCAAAAAGATATTTTCAGCACAGAAAGAGAAACGATTATCCGATTTCGCTATAAATCCTAATATTTGCTACTGTGCTACGTCAGGTGCGAAAATGGTCCAATGGTTGGTTCACTCCATCTAGTACCTCCCCCACAAAGGGTCAATATTTTGAATAATTTCTACTTTTATAAAATGTGATGTAAGAGTCAGATTGTCTTCAAATTTCACACATCCCAATATTATTATCAACGCAAGGACTGTTGTTAAGATGGAATATATCAGTGCGCTCCTTCTGATACCTCTCCCACAAAATGTCGAATTTTTCAAAAAAAAAATTGCAAAGAAAGAGAAACGATAATCCGATTTTGCTCCAAATTCGCAAATACTAATAATTGCGTCAGTGCTAAGTCACGTGCGAAAATTAACAATATCGGTTCACTCCCTCAAGTACCTCCCCCACAAAGTCCAAAAATTTTGAATAATTACAACTCTTGTAAAATGTGATGTAAGAGTCGGAATGCCTTAAAATTCTACACATCCCAATAATATTATTAACCCAAGGTCTGGTGTGAAGATGGAAAAAATTCACGTTCACTCCTTCTGGTACCTCCCCCACAAAAGGTCGAAATTTTGAATATCCATTAAGCTAATGAAACGCGAAATGAATATCCGATTCAATTTAGACTTGGCACATCTGAAAATTTCTATCAACATAGGATCTATTATAAATACGGTAGAGACCGGACCATTCCTTCTGTTACCTTCCCCACAAAGGCTCAACGTTTTGAATAACCAAAACGTTTTTTTTTATTTTATTTTTCTTTGTTTAAAACAAAAGCTACCATACAAGCAGAAGGTAAAAAAATTCTACAAAAAAAAACTTCACAGAATTTGCTCAGAATTCGGACCTACGAGTCGGAAAAAGACGTCAGATTTTGAGCAGACTTGTCGGACGCGTTGTACGTTGGATACTCATTCGGTTGCAACGGTATCTGAAGGATTTAAAATACTTAAAATCAAGATAAAAACGTTGATCGATGTAAGCTATTTAAATATCAATCATTATAAGAAAAAAACATTTTTTTTTTTAAATTTCAAATAATAATTCAAAGCATACGGAATTTATTACAAGCCAGGTATGAGGAATATTTCGAGGCAACAAAAACTGAATAACGAAGCTTATAAATATGGAAACAAGGTATGAAAAAGTTGTAGCGAACGCCATCTACAAATCAATTAGTGTTGAATGCATACTTATAGGCACTACAAATCATAAGTAGTGCATGAAACATAGGCATAGCCACTTGTAGCCACTCCAATTTTTACATGATTTTTAAATAGCTTCAATTATATGTGTGTGTGTGTGTGTCGGAATGGTGTTTCAATTCCAAATATTAATATGTAATCACCGCTCGCCTAAATGTATGCTACAACATTTGATTTCTATAAACCGCAAAAAATTATATACGACCATATCAGTAACGAATTTATGATACGATTTATAAATTAAAATGATTATTAAAAATGATTTACACAAGCATTTAACACTCACATTTTATTTAATTAAATATAAATAAATTCAATTCAATTAAATACGAACAGGTTAAAAAGCAATATATTTTACCGCAATTGAGAGGAGAAAATGTCATTTTATTTAAATTTTGACATTTTAATTACAGTTTCTATGTTGATGTTAACATACATGTGTCACACTTGTTGTATTACATACACATGTACTCCGTTACATAACAACATACAAAATTGCTAAATTAAGTGCATTTTTTAGGAAAATGTTTTTAACGAAAAAGTCAAGTAAACAAAACATATGCATTAATATGAGAATGTGTGAGTTATCTCCCACTGAATTAGCAATTGGTTTTAGGAATTTATGTGTAAAAAAATGAAATTACCATTTGGTCCATGTGGCTCACTGGGTCCAATGGTGATAATGGTTTCGAATATATTTCTAGATATTTACTCTCTTTGTTTTGTTCTTCGTATGTATAATATCTTTAACAGGTCTAGCGAAAAACGTCATAACCTCAACAAATATTACCGAACAATCCTCTACACTTCCCTGAATCCATCCCGAGAAGTATCTCCTCCTCCTTGGAATTTACTTGTACACAGCATTTATTTTCAGTATCCATTCAATTTGTAATAATAGTTTTTTTTTTACAAATCCCCTAGGATACATTCGTGTTAGATTTTTTTGTTGCGAGGAGGAATGTTTTGTTTTCTCGCTTAACATGTGTCACTCAATAGGATATCGACGTTTGTGTATGTACATCTGTCTGTGCACACAACAAAGAAAATAATAAATCATATTAATCTATGTTTTATCTATTTTCGTTATTTACATTCTGTCAATCATGGTTTCAGATACATGCATGTGTATTTTTGCTCGTAATGAAGTGTGTAAATATGTATAACATTTAATTGATACATTCTTGCATTTATGAATGTTTAATAAAAATGACTGTACATTCTTTACAAGATATTTTTATTGACTTATCAATTTTGGCGTCGCCTAGAAGTCTTGTAATAAGTCCACCATTCTATGGAAGGTATTTTATCTTTGTCATTCCGTTTGTAACTCCTTGAAATATTCATGATAGTCCCTACAAAGCAATAATGGAACAGCGTAAAATTCTAAGACAATTTTGCAAAGTCCGCTATCTTTCGAACGAATTGAGATAGAGGGATAAAATTCTGCACACTTGTGTAATTTGTCAGTAGGCAGGTTAAGTTCATGAATGGTCCACATCGGCCCACGTTTTCGTATGGCCCCCTTATAACGGTACCTCCCGATATTCGGTATTTTGATGATTTTAGCGACATTATTCACCCGAATTGTTTCAAATTTCGCATTCGAAGTTTGTAATGGGTACTACAGCCTATGCCTAAGAATTTCGCATGCAAGTACATGTCTTCGCATAGCCCTCATATAACGGTACCTCCCAATATTCGGTATTTTTGATGATTTTTTGTGACATTTTGAACCCGAATTGTTTCAAATTTCGTGTTCGGAATTTGTAATGGGTACTGCGGCAGAAGCATAAAAATTTCGTATTCATGTCCCAGTCTTTGTATAGCCCCCATATAACGGTACCTCCTAATTATCGGTATGTTGATGATTTATCGACATTTTAAACCCGAATTTTTTGAAATTTCGTATTCGAAGTTTGTAATGGGTACCTTAAAATTTCGTTTGCAGGTCCTCGTCATCTTAGAGCCCTTTCATAAAGGTATAATGGTATTTGTTGTAATTTTTTGAAATTTTCCAAGTTCTTTTCAAATAGTGGAGGGCATTAAAAGTTCGGCCCGCCCGAACTTAGCTTCTTTTTTACTTGTTATTTTTTAAAAAAAAATAAAAATTAAAAAATTCAGCCTAGGCGATGACCGAAACGAACGAAAAAGAAACCATTTCTTTATTTTTTCAGTAGGCAGGATATGTTCGTAAATGTGGCATGTCGGTTCTCATTTAGGAATAGTCCCTATATAACAATACCTCGCGATGTTCAGAATTTGCATGATTTAAGCCACGCTTTTAAACAGAATTGTTTAAAATTCGGCACTTAAAGATTTAAAGTTTTGTTATAACCCCCATATTTTGATACTCCCAATATTCGGTATTCTGATGATTTCAGCCACATTTTTCAGGGAAATCGTTTAAAATTCGGTATGTAGAGTTTATAATGGACTCTGTTTTCTGTGACAAAAGGCTGCTGGAATAGGCTTGTTATTTCTTATAGCACTTTTTAGAAGACTTTTTTCAAACTTGCAAAAAAACATCCCCTATAGCAGGAAACCGATACCATCGGCTTAACAGCATTTTGAAAAATTTTACTAGCAAAAATGGAAGTGGACCTAATATTCAATCCCGATACTTTCATATTCAAAGGTGCTCTTTACCTCATGGTGGAGGGTATTCAACTTAACGCATTTTTACTTGTTAAAGTTATTCATAGGTTCTTGGTAGGATTTTTGTAAATAGTTGGGCATGTCCTTGCTAATTTAAGAGCTTAGCAGGTGTTTTGTGTGTAGCTACTGCTGTTAAAATGTATTTAAAACAACCGTTATCTTAGAATGAAGAGATTTCCTGGAAACTATTTTCCAAGACTCGTTTTTAGTCCCCAATCTGCCTGCTACATTTTAGGCCATTATAAGGCAAATATATTTTTTACAGTTTTTGCTTTCTAAAAATTATTTTTGTTTAATTTCAAAAGAAATCTAGTTTTGTCAGCTTAAATTTTTCCAATTTTATTTCCCAGATTTGTAAATAGGCGATTTGAAAAGTATGGAACTGATAAATTAAATATATTTTCCTATTCCAATAATATTATATATTTGTGTATATAAAGTCAAAACCAGACTCAAATAGCAGTACCTTCTCTAAATTTGCAATGTAATTTGGAAATTGTTTACCATTAAATTTCTTATTTACATTTATATTGCAAAAATTCTGTAGTTTATTATTTTCTTTTTTTTATATTTACATCCTCACAAACAAATATTGATATTTTTATGCATCGTCGATTTTAAATTGGTTTCTTCCGCCTGCATTAATATCAAGATATCCGAATACCAAAAGTTTATCTTCA